TTTATTATAAAATAATGTACTATCAGTGAAGCTTATTGCCTCGTATCGGCGAACGCGTGAAATTAATATTCGTAACGAATATCGGCGTGAAGAACGTAACGGCGAAACGAAGATCTCGTCACGTCGAACAACTCCAACCGCGCCGCGATTGTCCGTTCTAGGCTTAACGAGATATCTCGTTAGCAGTGCATGTTCGCGTCTGGTGTCCCTGTCTCTCTTCAACGAGGGCCCGTCGAATTGTCCGATCTTCCACAATGATAGAAGTATTAAACACTGGACTCGGTTCTTTTTGCCACCGTCGCCCCTGTTTGTATCCGTCTCTTTCCATTCTACATAATTTCACTGAACAGCGTGTCGAATTCGAATCTCTTTTTGAGTTCAAAGTGGGTATCATCGAAGAGAATTCACGTTTTTTATACAACAAAAAGGAATTGTTGATACAATTTTCGAGGAAGTCTTCTGATAAAACTCAAGAGTCGTCACGAAGCACGGAAAGTGATTTAATTGAAAGATAGTCGTCGTGCGTGCAGGAAGCGGAGCTCGCATCCATATGCTGTATGCTTTCGAATACTGTTATTATCGGTGTGCATGCACAGAATGCCACGTTGTTCGTTGTATGATGAGCTTCCATCGTGTGTAGTGTATACAAAATGAAAGAGGAGAGAAAGTCCCGAGCTATCGTAAAAAAATCCTTCGCTTTTGCCACCAACGAATAAAAAATGAGAGGGAGAGAGAGAGAGAGAGAGAGAGAGAGATACGAGTGATCGTGCGCGTCTGTGAATTATGCGTGCATCTTAAACGGGTATATGTAATGTTAAGAGATACGTGTACGATTTTTACGCGCGAAAGGAGCGAGCAAAGTTCGATTTACATTTTATGTAAATTGTTTTCATTTTTTACGAATTTTCCATGCGCTCTGAATTATGCATGTCGCTGGTTGAACTCCGCGTCGCGTAATTTCGTAGTCGTTGAATACCGTGCAGGATCGGATTCTTAATTAATACTCAATACCTTAAACAGACTCTAATTATTTAAACGTGATTACAATTTACTTTGGGATAAATGCTGATTTTTAGTACGCGTTTGCTCTGAACCTGTTTGTTTCCTCCTCCGTAATTTTTTGGTAAATTACTCGGTGGATATAATAATTTTCGAGAACAATATCGAAAGAGAGTGCGGCGGAAGCAGCGATGCTACCCATTTCGCCTTTTCCAATTTCTCGAGTGTCAATTTTGCAACACATGGCCCTTGCGTTATCGCGATGGAAGATTACACTTCGTTCCCTCCCTTTTGTTTTTTACCGAACCGTCCCTCCATTTCATCTGGTAACTTAATAAAAATTGCTCCTAACAGATCTTTCAAAAAATTACTTTATTAGATCTCTGAATTGTTTGATCGCGGATTCTCCCCCAAGCGTCCGTGGTATCCATATGAAAAATGCGATTCCAATGGAAATTTCACTAAACGCATGAAATTCGCAGCTCGCTAATAACAAATCTAATTAATTTCTAAAAATATTGCCAGAATTCTTGAACAGAACGGGTTAGCGGAATCGTAAAGAAATTTTTAATATAACAAGTTACAGGCGAGCTAAAGGGAGGAGTTGGCGGGCTGTAATGTAAAAACTGAAGTATTTTTATGAAACCGCAGCACAAATTTAATATCGCCTGTAAGCAGTTGCACCGGCGGATGCCCGGATGGGGATTAGTGTTGGTAACGTACCTACATGTCGATACGTGTATAAATTGAATCCGCTATAGGAATTCCTCGTCAAAGAGAGGAATTCTTGCTACCTCGCCTCTCTTTTTCCGCCGATACCGCCTCCTCTATCTACTGTGACGTCGAGCGTGAAAACGCTACACTCTACAACAATTCCTTCTATCCTCGCCCACAACCGAGTTATGCATGCAAAAAAATCACCTCTGATGTCACTTAAATCGTTCCAATAACTGTGAGGCAAACGGTTAACATTGAAATCTAAACTATTCTGTTTAATTAAAAAAAAAAATCGTCCAGAACGATTCCCTATCCCGTCAATGGCTACTATGCGTGAAATCTGAAAGCTGATGTGACACAAATCATTTTCAATAACCATCAGACGAATTATTCCATTTAAATCTGAACTGGTGCAATTAATTCAAATAAAAATGATTTTCTTGGCGCAGACATGGATCTACCAAAGCATTCGAAGAAGTTTGGCGATCGAAGGGGGGACGACGACACGAACGAAGCGATCAGCGATCGCGACCACAGACTGAATCACGTTTACCAAGGTTCTTTACGGGAACCGGGTTCCACGTTGGATCCGTACTTCGACGGCGACGATGAATCCTCGATGACGTCCACGATTCTACCACCCACCACTTGCATCCTCCTGACAGTGTCTCTTCAATTGCTAGCTTTCACGTAAGGACCGTTTTCTGAAAGGAATGGACGTAAGATCACTTCGTCGACGACGATCAATTAGTTTCTCCTCCCGTCATTCAATTAATTGTTTACGAAATCGTGAAAGAAAAATGGATTTAGTACTTCGATGATACCCTACAGGATTCTGAACAGATTGTTTCTCGGTAAGTAACATTTCTTTTATTTATCAATTGATTTTTGATTTTATATCCGTGAACTTTAAATTCTGACTTTGTATCGCGTTATTCTGTTATATTTATTTTCCTGCGGAAGAGTATTTCATCACTTGAATTTTTGGTTTCTCGAATAACGTTTGAATACATGCGATCAGAAACCGCGAATTTAAATTCGTTTCGCCGGGATGGGGGTGGAACGCCCAGCATTTTTATCTCTCCAATTAAGGAGACACGTCTCGTTAAAGCAATTTCCACCATCCACCTGTTACTCTGTAATCTACTTGACCTACGTGTAAGTCCACACTTTAATGTAGCACCACTTGCGCTGCACGATGTTTCAACAAAAGAAGCAGAACCGGGGGAAGTATTTTAAGAGTGGGTTTTAAAAATACGCGCCGATGTGTCAAGCAGTTAAATACAGTAAATGACCAGAAAAAACTGGCGCCGTGAGAAAAGAACGCTCGGCTTATGAGCCACGTCCTCGTCGAGCAAATTGTTGTTCTTACCAATGAACATTCTCAATGAAATAGTAGCATTTCTCTTATCTTTTAATATCTACATCATATCATGTTGTCTTATCAATTCTATTTTATTCATTTATNTATGTACTCTGCAAATATGTATAAAACTGTCAGTGTGAGCGACGTAATCTAATTAGATCATCTTTTTAAATACGCTTATCAAAAAATGTGAAGATTCGCAGTCTGTGACACTTGAAACAGTTTTAGTCTATTTTAATAATCTTGTTAATTATGCATAGCCTCTATTATAAACGGTTTTCGTTGTCAAAGCCAGAGGATCGCGCGGGAACGTTTTTTTAATTGAAAGCTGGAACGTAACGAACGTCAGCTAAAACAAATTACGTTGAACTTATTCGGGACGTAGTTCTTTATTGTACGAGGAAATAATCTTTGTTTCTTTGTAATTAAAACCGTAGCTCTTCATTTACAGAAAAGATAATACAATTTTGTTGAATGAGATTTCACTCCATTATTCGTTAAATTAATGAAAGTAAAATCATACAAATCGTTCGTCTCGGGTAAGTTTATCATTTATAGTCGACAAAGAATTCGATATTGTATTTAGAACACCTGGATTGAGTGAGTCGGTTGATTGTTTAGTGATTAGGAGGAAATTAGTATCAGTGGATATATGAGAAATACATTTATGTGTAGATTGTGTAAAATACGGAATAGGATGATATTATTAAAGTTATTGAATTGTTGACTGTAGGTGTTTACGGCGGTTACACGATAAATATAAATACACATATTCTATATATAATAGGCTGTAAGATATGAATTAAAAGAATGAAATCAAATCATAGGAAAATCGGCCTTTCGACGAAAAACCAGGACAAAATTTGATCGAGAATCCTATCAATCCTCTTTCAGTGAAAACTAGTGAAGAGGAGTTAATAGAATTTTCACAGTTAGTGTACGCAGAAAGCATTTGATTAGTCAATCCATAGACAGTTGAATTGACATTATCATGATCGCGAATGTTACCATTCGTTTCATATCATTAATGGACCGACAATATTTTCATTTGCGAAATTACAAATGCAATTACACGTATAAGCGAATGTATATTTGTGCAAGACGGATCGAGTGGTAAGCGCGTACTGTAAAATATACTAACAACGTTATTTATATGTTAATGCAATGTTTCCGCGTGGATGTAAATACTTCCGTTCTCAAATAGCGCTGTTCTGTTGGAAAAAAGAATTCCTTGTTGACGAGGCAATCGAGAAATTGTGAAGAGGGATCGATCAGATGATTCACACACGTATCTCTAAAAGTGTACCGAATTTAATAGTGTAAGTTAATAACGTCGTATGGGTGAACTATCGATACAAGATAATTAATTTTGGAACCGAAAATATACTTTGATTCTGACTTTTTACTCCCGTCGAAATTTCTCTTGCATATCAGACAAAATGATTTCGAAATCTTGGAGAAATTATACTGACATATCTTTTTCTGCTTAATAATAACGGTGTCAAATTGTGGAATCTGTTCTGATGTTTCATCAATGGTGAGAACAAAATTTTGCCAAAACGTCAGAATACTATGGCTTACATATTCAAATTTCCATATCCACAATTGAATGTGAAACAAGTCAACCTGTCACGAAATCGATTTTATCGTTTAATGAGTGCGAAAGCTGATTAATTAGATCATTGATCCATATGCCGATTTGATAATAAAACAGTATAGAAAAAAAGAGATCTAATTAGCCTTTGAGGAGGGCCGAGGATTATCCTCTGTATCAATGGTCTGGCCTTAATATATTTTGCACACAGTATATATACATATGTTATTTATGGAGAAAGAGAGAATAAAAAATGAATGAACAAGGAGCGCG